TACTGAACTGTTTAGTTAAAAAGATACCTACTCTTAGGAAGAAAGTTAAAAACGACCACGACCGTCGTAATTATCCAAAAAATACACGTGAAATATAAATTTCTTTACCGTAATTCGTAATTTTATTAGACCGTCAAAGGGTTAAGTGTTATCGTTTGTAACTTCCTAGCTTTGTATTCCGTCGATATGAATCTAATTTTTTAATCACGTTTCAGTTAAATAAAAATTCAGAATGGTGGGTCATTTTTTAGTTTAGCGTTTTTGTCGTTCGATTCGCAATATCATTCCTCGTTTGTATCGAGCTACTTTAAGTATGATCAACACCATGGAACTAACTAGGTGATAAAACGCACGGTTAAGTTGTTTCGCGGGTATCCGTGATCAGCGCGCATTAAATCGGTCCACGCGATTCAGCAGAAAGTTTCGCTTGTATTTGTGACGGGGCAAAGTGGCGCTTGTACCGACATTTTGTACAAACAGGAATAATCGTCGACCAATTAGACGCAGGAAAGAGGGGGCGGGGGGCAGGAGGAAGGAAGGGTTTCATGGCTAGGCGAACCTTCGAGCAGCTAGGTGCGCCGCGGATAATCACGGTCATAAATAACATTTATCGGTGGCCTGTGGTCTAATTGCCAATGATTACCATGGGCCGCACGAGAAAAATTGCCAATTTACATCGAATGCTCGCTCTTTCCACCACCCGCTTCCCGCTTAGTTTACTTACCCCAGACGTTCGATCGCAGATAAGCGGTTCCTCTTACAAAATCGCACCGTGTTTTATTACCGGCAACCATCCTTTCGTCGAATCGCGTTACACGTATATTTACGGCGGGGGAAGTTCGAAAAAAATTTGAAACTTTGCGGAAATATTGTTCGAGCGGCGCTAATAACGAGACCGTTTTTTTTTGTTTCGGCAATGAAACTGTTTCAGGGGTGGAAACACCCTCGAAGAAATTGTGAGTTTTCGGATTGTCGCGAATGTTTATGAAAATATACAAAGTTGTGTGGTTTTTGATGTTCCACATTGTAGTGGTAAATAATTATTTCACAAAATTTACCCGCGCCACTTTTAATTCTCGAAAATTCTTCACCACCGTAACAGCAACGTTGAGAAATCCCGAAAAGTATTATGAAATGAAAACTATCATAATATAACTATAATAATGTGAAAACTTACAATTTCTTTGAGGGAGAGTTTTCACCCCTAGGACCATTTCCCTTCCGAAATAAAACATATTTCCGTAATTAGCATCAATTGAACTGTTGAAGGTAAATTTTGAAAAGAAAAAATGTTTTTGAAACGAATTGTTATGAAATGAAATCTATTATAATATAATTATAATGATACGAAAACTTACAATTTTCTTCACCCCTCGTACCATTTCATTTCCGAAATAAAAAATAATTTCGTTACCAGAGTCACTCCAACTGGATTTCTGCAAAGTTTCAAATTTTTTTGAATTTTTAGATTACCAAACTTCCCTTACGGGAGATTGTTCTAAAGGTAATTCTATTTCAAAATTGATTACCATATTTCCATTTTTTCCCCTTTTTGGACATTTTCGGTATGCGAAGGAAAGTTAGGGTAGAAGCTTGAAAATCACTCCATTTTCGATTTCCCATCCTAGACGCCACTTCCTCGTCGCTTTTTTGTTCTCGAGGCGAATACAGCGAGGGTTCCGCGCGTTCACAGCCGAATAGAGTTGGATCTCGCTCTCCTGAATACGCAATGCGATTTATTCGAAACGTGGCGTATAAAACACAAAGGACCGTGTATGATTGGTAAATTATTGAGGCATACCGGATTTGTCGGCCAATCACGTAGCGGTCTTAAATAATTCAGAGGAAGCGCGAAGGATGCGAGGAACGCGCGGGGAAAATCTCGAGACAGCCTCGTGCAAGATATTACGAGCTGTATTGACTTTAAACTTACGAAATCAATAGCTTCTATTCCCGCTTTCGTAGATTCACATCTTTATTTCTGAAAAGGTTAGGTGAGAAAAGAAAAGGAGAAAAAATGACACACAGGTTAACATCGAAACAGTAATTTTATTTTAATTAATATTTCTATGATAGAACTATGATACAAAACATATCTATACTAGCGAACGTACACACTTCCTTACGTATTCTCGTTCAAAAGTTTTTACATGCATCGTACATCGCGTTCGAGAATGCTCGTCGATATCCATTTCTTCTCTCGTTCGGACAAACAACTTCAGATACAATGTTCGTCGAACGTAATCCATAATGTACGATAGTGTGTGTATCTATATAGAGATCGCGGTTCCACGGTCGCTACTAATCGTAATCTACGCGAGTTATTTGGTTAGACAATTGGTTAGTAGTCTTACGATAGACGATATAATTTTCCTCACCTTCTCACCGATCCGTTGCGTTTCCCTATCTCAGAGGCGCTTAGCGTTAGGAACTACGCGCGTACTCGTCAAATCATATACAGGGTGTCCCGTAACTCCTCGAACACCCGGAAATGGGGGGTTGCTGGGGTGACTCTGAACAACTTTTTCCTTTTCCAAAATTCAGTTTGAAGCTTCGTTTTTGAATTATTAACGAAAAACATTGTCCAATTGGTGCGACAACACGTGAAACACGTGTGTGACGTGACGTGACATGGTGTGACAAGTCGTGATAAATCGAAATTAAAATTATAATCAATTGATAATAAATTGCGTTAGTGAAAATTTACAAAAAACTTTTTATTCAATAAAAAAAAAAAAAAGTTCA